CCCGGCCCTCGGAGAACCAGAGTCCCGCGGAGCTGAGCCCGCTGCAGGTGAATGCGTCCCCCTGTTCCGGGAAGGGGGTAATCCGTCCACCCCACCTTGCGAGCGCCCTGCCCCCGGTACGGGAAGGGGGATCTGTCCGTTCTCCCCTTGAACGCCCCCTGCCTCTGTGGCTTGCTGCCTTCCCTGGGAGGGGGCTTCCCAGTCTCAGCCATGCTTCGCCCGCGCTAGGCATGCAACACAGCGGGGGGGCTGTGCCAAGACATGGGGTCTGCCCCAGGACGCTGGGCTGCGCTGTCAGCACAGGGCTGCCTGCTAGGGATGTTGCAGTTCCACTAATCCGCTAATGGAGTAGTGGATGGAATTTCCATGGCAACTAGTACTCTTACTACATTTAAACGGCTGAGGCACAGCAGTGGGACCCAGCGGGAGGGGGGACTGCTTCAGTTCCTGCTCACTCCTCTGCCTCCCTGCGGAGACAGTGCTGAAAACCGGCTTTTAAGCTGGCTCCATCCTGCACCAGCTCCTGCTTCCCCTCCCCACTTTTCTGCCTCTGATAGAGGCAGCAAGGGGGGGGTAGTACTCTTACTACATTTAAACGGCTGAGGCACAGCAGTGGGACCCAGCGGGAGGGGGGACTGCTTCAGTTCCTGCTCACTCCTCTGCCTCCCTGCGGAGACAGTGCTGAAAACCGGCTTTTAAGCTGGCTCCATCCTGCACCAGCTCCTGCTTCCCCTCCCCACTTTTCTGCCTCTGATAGAGGCAGCAAGGGGGGGGGAGGCAACTAGTCATTTACATCCAGTGCACCATGTTGGTCAAGCCACCCCAATAGCCTCAGGCTCTGGGGCTGGGCAAAGGGGGCAGAGCTGGCTGAGCTGGGGGCCCAGCCCCCAGTGACCCTGGCCCGGCGCAGCATAGGGGTTCCCAGAGCTTATCTTTGCCTCTGCCTACTAGTCCCTGGTGACGGCACAGAACTTGCGGATCGAGGCACTGGCGCAGAAGCTCAAGCAGCAGCAATACAAGCTGGACAAGCAGAACCTGCAGATTAAAAGCCTGCAGAGCAAAGTGAGTCTTCTCCCCCCCC